ATAGCCACAATGAAACGGGCAAATAGGAAAGAAAAAGAATGTCAAGAAACCAAGACTTGAACACTAGCATTGTTGCATGGATGGACAGATTGAGAGTTCCTATTTCTCAAATACTACAAGCATAACATTTACAAAAAATGTAATAGAACAGACATTTGATGAGATCATCTTCTCATCAATACTTTTAACTTTACGTTTTGCAAAAAATATTACATATAGCAAGAGCAAAAATATCTTGCATATCATCAGTTAGTTATGAACATGATTAAGCTCAGTTAAGATCATCAACTTCATCATCCTCGTCATCATCACTAATAATCCATCCACTAGTAGAAAACTTGCTTATAGTGACACTTTGATAGTGACACTTTTTTATAAAATGCTATAAAAATGTTTTTAATGACATAAAAGTGTCACTGTTTTCTAACTAAATACATGAGTATTATCTAGTGACACTCTACATTTTTTGCGGAGTAAACTTTAAGGCCCGCGTCACTGTTCACATTACAAACGGGCCGGCCTTTTTACACTTCTTTTCCCCCTCCCATTTCAGACTGCATACATCGGCAACCTTCCAACCCTAACTCCTCAATCGATTTATGTTAGGAATGAATTTTTGGCTTTCCTTGGTCTGTCGCTTGACTTCATCTCCTCGCTAGCTAATCTGAACTTCGTGAGGGATTGTCTTCGAGTTCACTAATCGTTAAACCTACTGGAAGATTCAAAGGGTATCCTGCAATTTTCTTCTCCTGCGATTCAAATATACGGAGTATATTTTCTCAGAAAATTTTCTCCTCGTCAGCCGTGTCTTCATCAACCGAGCACTCGAGCTGTCGGCTCCTCATCTTACTCTAAGAGATAATCTCGCTGGTGTCATACATTTTCTGGTTCAGAGCTGTGACACCATACATCTCCTGGCTCCGAGCTTCGCTACCCTTTGTTGTAATCCAGATTCATGTTAAATTAGGTATGAGATTGTACTATCTAATTTCATGTAAGAACCATATTTTGGTAGGATTTTTTGATTGCTAATTTAGCAGTTAAGATTATCATTTGTGTTCATTCCAAGTACCATTCTTAATCTATCCCAAATATATCTTATTAATCATCTTATCATATATATGTTTCACTGATTTGAAGTTAATTTTGTTTCCAGACCGGTTCTTAATTCAGGCAGGTTCTTAATTATTTCCCAAAAATACTCACATCCTTTCCATGGCTCCCAGGTTTGCATCTTTCCATGCCGGTTCTTAATTGTTTGGTTTGATATTGGGGTTTTTCTGGTGGCCCTCATCAGATTTATCATATGCTTCAATGAATAGGACATAATCATGTTTTAATTTAGTTTATCTACCTCTGTTCAATCTGTCCGTTGTATTGTGTCTTAATTCAATTTGGATGAATTTGATCTATTCTGCCATCAAAGGTCGACAGCTTGATTTAGTATTTTAAGAGTTGTTCAGATTAAATGATAATACTAGAAAAGGATGAAAGTGGGTACCAATTTGGTTTTGGTTCAAAAAATAAGATGACAATTGGGGTTACACAAAAATGAAAGGGTTCATGTAACCGTAAAAGAAACCAATGTCTAGCAAGAAACCAAAGTTAGAAGCTAAAGCTTGTAAAAGTTACACTACTATTATACGTTCTTTCATAAAGGATGAAATGTGCTGAAATTATTTAGAACATCATATCAACTTGTTTCTTTTCATTTTTCCCTTCTACTTAATATATACTTCATCTAAGATATTGAGTAAGGTAGAAGTTTACTTTTTTCTTAATATGATATTATTGGGCTGGTGAAATATGATTTTTATCTTGAAGCTACTAATAAGTGTCAGATAAAAACACAAGTTGTGTTAGCAACCATTCTCGAGTGTATACCTTGTCGTAATCCGTATGTATATATTCAATTTCTGCTTAAATGGACTTATGTTAATGATGTCATTAATTTACTCTCTTGAATCTTTCTTTTTCAAACAAATGAAGATAACAAATGAAGATAATGTGATTAAGTATATCCCTATGTTCACTAATATGGTTTAGTTATTTCAGGCTTCTTCTATGAAATTTTCATAGGTACTGTAGGAGCAAGTGAAAGGGTTCAGAGATCTGAAATATGAAATCTGAAATCTCCTTTAAGTGAATAGATCTACCATGGCTAGAGTTCCAAATGCACAAGCCACATTACCCCACGACCGTGACTGGCTGCAGTGTTGTACTTGCTTTGCCTCATTTGTTTCCGGAAAGATATGGCAGCGGCGGCCTGTTAGGAAGCAGAAGTTGAGTAAGAACGAATTGTTGTTATAAGGACGGGAACATAAATCTCTACTACATGGATGCGGGCGGGCTTGACTCTGAGGGGCGTGAGTTCTGAAATGTAGAGGAGATGTGGAGAGAAGAAGCAGGAGATGATGGAAGCAAATCTAAGTGGTAAAGCTTTGCCATTCGTTATTGGGAGGCAATGCTCTTTTCTTTTCCCTCAATGATCTCCTCGTTATATATGCATATTTGTTCTCAATTCTCACGATTAGGATCACTGGTAATTAGCAGAATGTGGTAGCAATCGTCGATGGAGTGCTAGGCGGGTATGCAGATGTGAATGATGCGGACGTAGCTGAAAGTAATGCATTTGTCACTACCATTTTGGCTGAAAGGTTTCTAGCTCAGAGGGACGCTGCAAGCCCGGCTTCCCGCATCGTTGCTCTTGGTACTAGTTTTGGATTTTTTACTTCGTTACTAACTTACTATATTTATATTCATTTGAAAAACTTCAATAAGGGATTTCTCGAGCAAAATCTGGTTTCCCATTCGAGCAAAAATGATTTGAATCCCAGAAGCATTCATGAATACCCTGTAGCGGGAACAATTAACATTTTTTGTCGTATTCGAGTGCTGATTGCTGATTACTGAACCAATATTTGTAAAATGTAAAATAATGTAACTAAGTAACTTTGTTAAATCCCTTGTTGGTTTAGGAACTCACTTTTCCTTAATTCTACAAATTGTGGCTCTGGAATTGGAAGGGTCACCAAGAATGTGCTTATAAGGCGTTTTAATGAGGTGCACATATTTATTTAACAACAGTTTCTGCTTCTTCCTTTACGATAAGACGAAATTGATCAACTTTATGGAGATCAATCATGTTCAAGATGGCTAACAAAAGTACAAAACCATTATTTCCTAACAAAATGTTGCCTTTAGGAGAAGGTTCTCACAAATCAAATCACAAATACTGTAATTAAGTTTCCTAGCACATTTATTTTTAATTTTTATCACCAACCACTTAAACCAATACCCTTTAATTTGAACTTTGTTTCACATTTTACTTCGCACTAAACACTACCAAAGTCAAATCATACATGTTGATAATACTATATAGGACGCACAATTTTACCATATTGGTAATAATGAAGAAGTGGCACTATTATTTCAACGTGATGTATGCTAAGACACTAGTCTGGTTCGCATGCTTGCAAGAAATCTCCTGTTGAAGATTAATTCATTTTGTCCACTTTAATATGAGTATTCTTGGATCCAGGTTGACCTCCTTGAGCCTGTGCCACATTTTTTGGAGGCTGCCCGTGTGAGTTTGGCTCCTGCAAAAATTTAACTGCGCCTGGGATGAACAGAGTTGCCAATTTTTTCTGTGTTCCACTTCAGGTTTTGGTTAAATATTGTCCTTGTATTGTTTTTCTTTTTTAGTTTCAGGTTTCAAGTGATTCTAAATTGAATTAAAGAAAAAGAAGTTGTGACAATAATATAACAAATATTTTTTCCTCATCCTTTCCTAACATCAAAATTTCATAGAAGCTAACACATTATTACATTAATACACTTATCGTTAGGGAACTGATATTTTGACCGGTCAGATTTAGCAAAAAACATAATTTTCCTATGAGAAGTTTATGGTTTGACTTTGATCTCGTCATATGAATTCTTATACCCACATCATTACTAGTTTTGGGGTACTTATTTCGTTAACAATCTGTTCAAAATGTGTAGTATAATCAAAATGGGGTACTTGTGCAGTTATTTCTGATGCCCAAAAAAAATTGGTTTGATCTATATCTTATTTGGCTCTCTTGCAGATCTGATTTGTGATTTGATTTCCAGCCAAAGAGTTTTTGTTGAGCAGCTCAAGTCCAAAAATAGCATATTCGGTAGAGTATTAGCTCCAAATTGATGCTATAGAGTATTAATGGTGGCTTTATTTTGTTCATTTTTGTTACTTATAATGTGGCAAAGTTAAAAAAATCATGCAGGCTAGCTATGTTGAACCAGATATTGAGAAGTACTCTGAAGACTTGTTTTATTGGATTATGATGGCGATGCAAGGAATTATGATGTCTAGTGTGTAGCATATAAAAATGTTGTATGATTAAAGTGTAGATTTATAGCATCTTGTAATACACTACGTGTGTAGTACTTATTGATATTGACATTGTAAAATAATTTGAGTAATAAATACAATTATTGTTCTTTTGATTTGGCTATTTATTGATATTAAATAATCTATAATAAAACTAGAACGAAATATTACAATGATTATAATAATATTATTGTAATTATATGACACCAATGTGTCGTAAATTTTTATGATACCAAGGTGTCACAACGTTTTATGATACCAATGTGTCATAATCTTGCATCACATTAATGTGTCATAATTTATTGACACTATTTTGTCTTACGATCAGTGACACTATATTTAGTGTCACTAGCCCCCACCTTTCCCGACGCTTTTTTAGTGTCATAAAAACTTTCAGTGACACTAAATTAGTGTCACTATAAGCCCTTTTTCTACTAGTGATCCATAACAAGGTTTTTTCATTCGGTTGGAAGATTTAGTCACCCCTGAACCCCCACCGGCGAGGACTGCGGCTGACACCGTCGGGAACTCCGACGACCATCTCCGGGGAGTGTGGCCTCCATCGCTGGAGTTGGAATTCGCTGGATATTTGGAGTGAGGTGAAGGTGCCGACTGTGGAAGAGATGATTTAGAAGAAAACCCCACATGAACTTGTTGTGTATCATCAATATCCTTAGCCTACAAAGTAAAGAGAATTGAAAAAATGAGAATGATATTGGCTTTATACACACACATCAAAGGGAAGTTTAGTTTTGTAAAAAATAAAACATGAAATTGTGGTCGACCAAAGTCACAGAAGCTTACACTTTCTTGTGACACTTCAATAGTCTTCCCTGACGCGTCTTCAATAACGTTAATTAGGGGTGTAACATCTTGTTGAACATCTTCAACCTGCAAACAAAATTGGTATATGTACAAACACAAAATTGTGTCTTTTGATAGGAAACAAAATTTTACCTCTTTCTCTTGATGCTCAATAACAGCCTCGTCGTCAACATTTTTCTTTGTCTCCTCTTTACTGTCAATGTACTATAAACAGGAAAAAATTAATTATATTGAAGACTAAAATTCAAATGTTTATCTTGCAATGGAATAAAGAAAAACCTTCTGAAGTAGCCTCTCAAATCTCTCAAATCTCTCTATTAGTATGTTATGCCTTCTTTCTGACTGTGCCTCCATTTCTTCAATCCTCTCAAATCTCTCTATTAGTATGTTATGCCTTCTTTCTGACCGTGCCTCCATTTCTTCAAACCTCTCCAATCTCTCTATTAGTATGTTATGCCTTCTTTCTGACCGTGCCTCCATTTCTTCAAACCTCTCCAATCTCTCTATTAGTATGTTATGCCTTCTTTCTGATCGTGCCTCCATTTCTTCAAACATCTCAAATCTCTCTATTAGTATGCTATGCCTTCTTTCTGACCGTGCCTCCATTTCTTCAAACCTCTCAAATCTCTCTATTAGTATGTTATGCCTTCTTTCTGACCGTGCATCCATTTCTTCAAACGTTTTATCAATATATGATCGTGAAGAATAGTCATTGACAGGAGACTGAGGGGACTTAGATGGTTGTTTGCTGTGATGAGAGGGAGAAAACGGAATATGTGAGGCATGAGGAGAGGGAATAGAGGTATGTGTGGATTGAGTTTGAGGCGGCTGTTTAGCACCATCTTCTTCTTCTTCTTCTTCTTCTTCTTCTTCTTCTTCTTCTTCCTCGTCTCTTTCTCCTTCTCCTTCTTCCTCTCCTCCTTCTCCCTCTTCTTCTCCTTCACTGTCTCCCTCTCCTCCTTCTCCTTCTCCTTCTCCTTCTCCCTCTCCCTCTCCCTCTCCTTCTCCTTCTCCTTCTACTTCTACTTCTACTTCTCTTTCTCCTTCTCCTTCTACTTCTACTTCTACTTCTACTTCTCCTTTCTTCTTCCTCTCCATCTTATGTGCATTCTTATTTAGCACCTTCATCTTTTTAGAAGACTGTTTCTCTTTTACAAGACTTTTCACCTCACTTAACTTTCTTTTGCATGAGACTGGAATAGAGACTAATTTTTTCTCTAATGCTTTGACATATCTATCAAGTTCGGCATTCGGGTGAGCATCTTTTGTATGCTTCAAGTTCATCATCCAAGTACAATTAATCTCCATCAAGTCAGGTTGGAGTATACTCTGTACACTCTGTAACAAAAATAGTTTTGGTGAATCAAACATATAAATCATCAAATGTTGGTCAACCATATACAGGGGCGGAGCCAAGACAATGGGCCGGTACGAAGAATATTTTTGAAAATTTTTTACACGGAAACTTTTATCCTAAAAATAGACATTTTTAAAATTTGGATTGAGCCAAGACCATGACTGACCCTTCCCTAACTACGCCCCTAACCATATACAAATCAACTACATATGGGTTGACCATGTAGAAGCCGACCAAATGTTGATAAATCAAATGGGAGTCTCGTTCCTGTACATTTGGATGTACAGGAAGCCCCGAACGGACAAAGCCATCAGAGATCCTTTTTGATGGAATATTTTGATGAATTTTTTTGAGCATGTATTTCATCAAGTCGAGTTTATCCGTACCAAATTTTAGCTCAAATTTCGATTGGGAATGCAGTCAAATAAATTCTTGAAACATACGGCGCATTATGTGTGCACAAAATGCGCCATGTGTTTCAAAAATTCATTTGACTGTCTTGCCGATCGAATTTTGAGCTGAAATTTGGTATCGATAAACTAGATTTGATGAAGAACGTTCTTAAAAAAATTTATCAAAAAATTGCACCGGGAAGATGCTCTTATGAATTGTTCTCAACCAAATGGTGGTCAACAAAGTTAAGACATGTTACTGTTAAAGGGTGATAAACATGAAATAAAAAATTACTTACTTTTATTGATTCTATAGCTTCTTTAACCTGTTCATTACCGATCCTTTTTGTTTTCTTGTCCTTCCAGAGGCATAACCTTGGCATAGCAGGACTAGGTTGAGGCATTCTTTTAGCAAACTTTTGAGCAAAATCCGGAGCACATTCCAAAAGCAATATCTATTCAAATAAAATTTTAAAAATGAAAAAAATAATATAAATACTTCGTAAGTTATAGTAGAATTTAGAAATGATATTAATAATGGTCTTTACCGTTACGGGAATTAAAAACCCTGTGTACATCAATGTTTGTGATCCATTCTCTTTTTCTATTTTATGAAGCTTTGTGTCCAGATCTTTTCTCAACGAAGGTAAGGATTCTCTATAAGCCCATGTATCCCATGGGAAGTTTTCTTCTTCTTTTGCCCCTATTTTTCCAATTATCCATCCCGGAACAGGAGCATCATTTTTCTTAGCTAAAAGAACCATGACTACAAACATGAGTATTGCTACTCTGATCACTTCTTCATGGGCTTCTTTCTTCACAGCTTTGTCCACGTGCTTCAAATTTTTGCATAGTTCTTCAAATCTTTCTATAACTGTGTTGCAGCTCACAATTCCATCAAAATGTTTATCAATGAATCTGGCCTTGGCATCCTCATCAAAATCATCTTCATAGTTATCTACATTGAGGGTGCCGCAGTTCAGCCCGCTGATGAGAGCAAACTCCGTGATAGAATAGCGCACGGGAACTCCCTTCAGTACGAACCATTGTTCAGAGTCCGTTTCCGTCTTTGCTATTCTAGACAAGAGAGGCCACAACAGTGTTGGAGGCGGGATGAAATTAACATCCAGATATCTTCCGAACACACATTCTCTAAACTCAGATATTAGGTCTGGAAAATCCCTGAGATATTTCATTTCGTCTTTAAAAGCAGTCAGTGAACTTTTGATTGTTAGCTTCATTTTTGAAGGAAAACGTGAGCTATCAACCAAGGGAGACAAAGAAGGAACCTTCAAAAAAAAAAATTAAATCCTCCGTAAGTACTAGTTGATTAAAAACAGATTAAACCAGGTCGACCGGCCTTTGGTCGACAAAAACTTGCTCAAACCGAAAAGTTGAAAGAAAAGCAGACTATTACCTTAAGATTTTTGGCTGATTTATGAACGACGTCGTTTGCAGACCCTGACGGCCCCATTGCATCTAGTGCGGCGTCAAGTCGGTGTAATCCCTCCTGCGGAAAAGCTTTGAAAGTTCAAACTCTAACTTTTTTACATTTAACTCATTTTGCAATTTTTGGTATACTTTAAAAACCAAAATATAGCAAGAAGAAAAGGATACCTTTGGACGCTTGTTTCTGGGCGGAAAGGAGAAAAAAGTTAACGCGAGGACTCGAGGAGTCCTTATGCAGAAGTGGGCGTGGAGAAACGAACAGTGTACTCTTCACTTTATTTCAAATCTTGCTACTCCCTATAGCAGAGTGTGTTTAAATGTTTGCTATATTTTCTATTTTTAATAATTCTTTCAAAAATATTTAATTACTTTTATAAAGTAACGAAAAAATATGTGTGAATGAATTGGAATGTCTCCCCCTTGATCTGTGAAGTACCAGAATATATACACGGTTATGTTGCCAAACTTGGCTCCTAAAAATTAGCTAGGCCTTAAATAAAAGATACACTTGCTATACATATACAAAGTAATCAAAGAAATACCTAACGTATCAAATATATCCTAATACCCCCCCTCAAGTTGGAGCATGAAGATCACGAATGCCCAACTTGGCAAGTAAGGAATGAAACGGACGAGGTCCAAGTGCTTTGGTCAGAATGTCAGCCAGCTGCATGGAAGTAGGAATATAATCCGGAGCAATCGTATGCCGAGTGATCTCATTTCGGACAAAATGGCAGTCAACTTCAATGTGTTTCGTGCGCTCATGAAACACAGGATTATGGGCGATGTGAAGCGCGGCTTGACTATCACAATGTAGAGGAACAGGAGATGAATGTATAATCCCCAAGCTGCGTAACAAGCCGGTCAACCAGAGAATTTCACAGGTAGCAGAGGCCATAGCGCGATATTCGGCTTCGGCCGAAGAGCGGGAAACCGTAACCTGTTTCTTAGTCTTCCACGAAATGGGAGAGCCGCCAAGAAAAATAAAGTACGCAGTGAGGGAACGCCTGCTTAAAGGGCAGCTAGCCCAATCAGCATCGCAGTAGGCCCGTAATGATATATCAGAATTAGCCAGCAACAGAATACCTTGACCAGGACTGCTCTTTAAATATCGGACAACACGTAGCGCGGCGTCCCACTGAGACCGAGTAGGATGCTGCATGAATTGAGATAGAATGTGAACCGAGTAGCATAGTTCGGGTCTCGTAATAGTGAGATAAATCAGACGACCAACCAAGCGTCTATATTTGATAGGGTCGTCCAAGAGTTCATCAGAAGCAAGAGCTAAAGAATGACCCTCTTCCATAGGTGTGCTCGCAGGTTTGGCAGCAAGAAGACCGGTTTCAGACAAAATATCTAAGACATATTTACGTTGACAAAGAAAAATACCACTATTGTTACGAGCCACCTCAAGACCAAGAAAATATTTAAGTTTCCCCAAATCTTTCATACAAAAACACGTATGCATGTAATCCTTGAACTGTTGAATAGAAGCACCATCATTGCCGGCAATAACAAGATCATCAACATAAACGAGAATGCTTAGGGAAACATAGCCTTTGTGATAAACAAATAATGAATGGTCAGAGGGACTATTATGAAAACCATAAGCACGCAAAGCAGTGGCGAGTTTAGCATACCAACACCGGGGGGCCTGGCGGAGGCCATATAGTGATTTGCGGAGCCGACAGACTTTGCCTAAAGAATTATTACCAAAACCAGGGGGAAGTTTCATATATACCTCTTCATCAAGGTCACCGTGAAGAAACGCATTATGCACATCCATTTGATGTAGCTCCCACTTTTTAACGGCCGCAACCGCAAGAAAAGTACGTACGGTGACCATTTTAACTGTCGGGGCAAAAGTTTCAGCAAAATCAACACCTGGTATCTGATGATTACCAAAAACAACCAGTCTGGCCTTATATCGTTCAATAGCCCCATCAGACTTATATTTAATGCGGTAAACCCACATGCAACCAATAGCGGATTTGCCTGGAGGTAAGTCCTCAATTGTCCAGGTATGATTATCCTCCAGGGCAAGAATTTCGTCCTGCATGGCTTGACGCCACCGAGCATCCCGCATGGCTTCTTTAAAAGAAGCCGGCTCGACATTAGTAGTAATGGCTGCAAGAAACTTACGATGACCGTTAGAAAAAATATTACAATTCACATATTGTGTAATAGGATATCGCGTACCTGAGGACAAGACGGGTGAGGGTGGAGCGGCGATGGGGGTAGCACGAGTAGTATACGTGACAAAATCTTGAAGACGGACATTGGGAAGCTTCTGCCGACGGCCCCGTCCCAAAATTTCAACACTTTGCTCAGACTCCCCACCTCGAGCAGTAGCATTACCTTGCTCAGAATCCGTGGTTACTATAGCCTCCTCATTGGCCAGTACCGAAGAGGTTTGGTTGTCAAGCTGTGTGTCAGAATCATGTATAGCAATATTGACATCTTCCATGATATTAATATCATCATGGATAAGGGAGGTGTCGGTCAAGGACTGCTGCAGAGCCGAAGATAACACACTGTCAGTTGCAAAAGGAAAAATATGCTCATAAAAGACCACATCTCTAGAACAAAAATATTTCCCAGTGTCAATATCAAGTAAATTCCAGCCTTTCTTCCCAAACGGATAACCAAGAAAAACACATTTACGACTGCGACTGCTGAATTTATCCATGGAATGCAACTCCTTGGCATAGCATAAACATCCAAAAATGCGGATAGTGCTGAGATCCGGGCAACGACCAAATAATAATTCAAACGGAGCCTTGCCTCCTAAAATTCGAGAAGGAGTTCGGTTGATGAGATAAGTGGCGGTAAGAACACACTCACCCCAAAAATCAATAGGAAGATGTGCATGAAAACGTAAAGCACGAGCCACATTGAGAATGTGACGATGCTTACGTTCCACACGGGCATTTTGTTGAGGGGTTTTAACCATAGATGTCTGATGAATAATGCCTTGTTCAGAAAAATATTTTCTCAAAACCATAAACTCACTCCCATTATCACTGCGAATGGTCTTTACGAGTTTTCCAAACTGTCGCTGAATTAAGGCAAAAAAATTCATTAATAAAGATGACACCTCGCTCTTATACTTCATCAAATAAACCCATACACTTCGTGAGTGATCGTCAACAATAGTGAGGAAATAACGTGAATCACATGAACGATTGGCACTATATGGTCCCCAAACATCACAATGAATTAAATCAAACAAATGAGTTGCTCTATGACTACTTGACGGGAAAACAGAACGAGTTTGCTTTGCACGGTGACAAATATCACACGGCTTATTAATTAAACTACTAGTGTGACCTCTAACTTGAGGCAATAAATCCAAAATTTGCAATGACGGATGTCCCATGCGAGCGTGCCAGAGTTCACCAATGTTAAGATGCGTGGCGCTACGAACGAGTACTCTATCCCCCATCGCCAAATAGAAGAGCCCACCAAATTGCTCACCCACACCAATCTTGGTCCTCGAGACTTGGTCCTGTATAACACAATTAGTATGAGTGAATTGAATACTTAATCTAGCATCTTTAAGCAAGGTGGATACAGATAAAAGATTGCAAGTAAATTCCGGCACAAACAGAACATTGTTTATCGTAAGTTTCTCATTCAATTTAATGCTACCGATCTTAGTAGCCTTGATAAAAGACCCATCGGGCAGCCCTATTTCTGTGGGTATCATATCAACGAGAGCGTCAAATAACCGAGCATTCCCACATACGTGATGTGAGGCGCCTGTGTCGATAATCCACAAGTTATCTGTCTTACCGTTTAGGCGAACATCACCAAGTTCTTTGACTGCATCTCCGGTGTGAGCAACATTTGCTTTCGGCTGCTGATTCACCGAAGCGTTGTGGAATCCCCCTGCGGTACCTCCGGACTGTCCACGTCCTTTATTCATGCCACGTCGCCGTTCCAACCAGCCTTCGGGGTATCCGTGTTTAACAAAACACTTCTCTTCAGTATGCCCTGTTTTAGAGCAAAAGGTACAAACAATAGGATTGTTTGAAAATCGAGCACCCCCCCCCTGAGCTGCGGCCAGGGGGATTAGTTCCGCGAACAGCAAAACTCATGGGATTAGTTTCTTCTCCCTGATTATTTCCACCAGTGATTGTCCGCACCTCTTCCTCTTGAATCATTCTGGAGTACACAATGTTTAGTGAAGGCAGGGGGTCAATTCCTAACAGGCTTGACCGAGTGTTCGCATAATATGGTTCAAGTCCCATTAGAAATTCTCGCACCTGATCTGCCTCACGTCGCTTCCGAAGCTTGGTCGTTAAATTACAGTTACAACCGGAGCAGTCACACGTTGGCAGAGGATCAAAATCATTCAGATCATCCCATAATTTCTTAAGGCGCCCATAGTAGCTCATAATCGTCTCACTGCTCTTCTGTTTACAGTCGGTGAGTTCGGCTTTCACCTGGTAAATTTTTACTCCATTTCATACAGAAAATCTTTCTTTGATATCGTTCCATAGATCAAAAGCAGTATCTCGATAAGAAATAGAGGTCCGCAATGAAGGATCGATGGTGTTGAACATCCAGGCCACTATCATGGAATTATTCGTCCACCAGTCTTCTATCTCGGGTGAACTGCTATCGGGTTGCTTGAGGCTTCCGTCTATGAACACTGATTTGCGTTTGGCGCGAAGAGATACACGGAATCCCCTTGCCCATTCTTCATAGTTATAACCCTTAAGAACAACATGAGTGATGACGGTTCCAGGATTATCACTTGGACTGAGTGCATAAATCAGACTTTGGGAAGAAATTGTTCCACCAGTCATGATGTGCGTCACCGTGATGAAGAAGCAGGGAATAGCCGATTACTTTGAGAAGCGGAAGATTGCTGCTCTGATACCATAAAGTAACGAAAAAATATGTGTGAATGAATTGGAATGTCTCCCCCTTGATCTGTGAAGTACCAGAATATATACACGGTTATGTTGCCAAACTTGGCTCCTAAAAATTAGCTAGGCCTTAAATAAAAGATACACTTGCTATACATATACAAAGTAATCAAAGAAATACCTAACGTATCAAATATATCCTAATATTTTACTTTTTTCAATACAATACTTTTATCTTTGTGTCGTACTTTTTTCACTTTCTCTCATATTATTTCTAACAATTCATGAGTCTTACTCTAAATAATGTGTGAAAGCCTGATGTAACAATCGTTTAAATATCGAGGAAGTGTATTGATCAATTGTTTTTAAATTTTATAAAAATATTACTAAAATAACATATGTGGAGAAAAATGTGATTAAAATGACTTTAGATATTTTTTCATAATCATTATCATATAAGATTGAATGCAGTGATCACTAAAGAAGGCAAAGCGGTCTATGAGGTTGTGCAA